TGTTTGGGAGGCCACACTGACTCATGTAGAAATCAGAATTGGTCTGTATTAGCATAAGCTTTTAGGATCACTGAATTCCCTCAAGTAATTTATCTAAGCATTAATATATTGCATTTTCAAGGGCAATTTTGAAGGTATTACTGAAAATGGTGCTTATGGAACCTGCGTAATGCAGAGAAGATAAAGCTGAAAGCGACTGACACTTAGGTCCTCTCTCTTTTAGACAGTTCCTTGCAACATATTCCTGCAAGAGCCATACTATGCCTGTAGTCCAGTGCATGGAGAACTCCAGCTAAGCATAGTCAGATCTCAGCAGCCCAGGGGGAGGTGCAGGCTTCTCTTTGGTAGTGATAGTGGCAAGGATGTAATCTTGGTGCTGTTTGTCCCTTTGGGTTTCAAAGAAAAAGCAAATAAGTGTCTAATTTTTATAGTATAGATACTGTATTTCAGCTAAAAGCCTTTTTTGCAAAAATCTGTAAGTTTAGGAACAGTGTTGAAAGCTACTCTGACATTTAATTTTGATAACGTAGTAATTCCTTGTGAATCAGTAGCAGGTACTTTCTGCAGTTAAGGCACTTGTGGTTAGGGATCAGGTTAAGAGAACTTTCCCCATCAGTTAAAAACTGAGATAGATTTAACTGATAGTTTCTTAGAGAGGAAAGGAAATCTTGTTATTGAAGCCTGTCTGGAATTGTGCATGTCCATTGAATAATGACTGTGCCCTTGGAAAACTCATTTGCTGCTTATTCTTCGCTTTCATTTGTCAAGGGAAATACTGACTCCATTCTCTGCCTCTTCATCACCCGATTGCAAGTCAGGACCTAACTTTCTGGTTTGGACTATGCCCAGCATAGAAGACTCAGGACCAGCTGAAGCCAGTCCATACAGTACAAGCAATGCATTTTTGAAAGACTTGTTTATTCAGTTGGCAGGTCTTGAGACTGGAGCTGTAGCCAGTCCTTTTGCAGTTGTCCTTAGGAACAGGTGTATCCATACTGATCTGGAGACTCTTTTCTTTGCTGTAACTGAACAATGGATTCAAGTTGTAAATGCTTCCAGGCTTGCAGTGCTAGGGAAAGCAGTCAGCATACTGTGTTAATTTGGGCTTCATTACTGTTCAACCACGAGTTACAGGTGTCCAGAGACATTCTGGAGGAGTTCTGCGGCTGTTTGTCTTGGAGACATCTGTTGATAGCTAATCTAAATCTGTTCATTCTGATGTATGTTTTATGCGGGTTCACTTTGAACAGATCTTCTTAAACGAAACCCCGAAGTATTTCTGCAAGAAATACATGTCTCTCTCCTGCCTTGCTTTCAGGTTTTCCTAGCAGTGTGGTTTAGCCCTGTTCTGCACAATAGGTGTTCTGAGATTACCCACATGATGCTGTTTTCAACCCTAATGTGACTGAGTCACTTGTGTCTTGCTAATTTTCATCATGTGAAACATTTTTATCAACTGATGTATCTTTTGCTTATGAAGTCTTTGTCTTTTTTTTACTTAATGATGAGGAAACCCCTAAGTTTTACAGAGATACTCTGAAATTATGTGGGAAAATGAAAGGAACAGCTTTAATGTACTTAATCAAATACATAGCATTCTCTGTAAGATTGTCAGTGACATGTATGAGGAACTGAAAACAGAAAAGGTGGAATACTTGGGTCAATCAGTCAGAAATGCTTACCCTCTGCTTTTCAGAATGAATTCCATCTCAGCTGTCTGACCAGTAGGATCAGCCTATAGCAAGTAAAACTTCCCAGTCAGGATACACTTCTACAGAGAATCTCTTTACATATTGCTATTTTTTTATGATCATTTAAATCTCCCACTTTGAGAGCATACAGAATTCCAGTAACAGGATTATTGCAAACCTTGTTATCGCCTACTCCAAGTACGAAGTGCAACTCTTACATGTTTTCTTGACTAGCATAAGCACATAACAGCATTATCAGACACCAGTTTAAAGTATGCTGTACCATGGGTGACATGGCTGTGGACAGACAATGAGAGAGGAAGTAAACTTTACATAACAGAGTCAGTCATGCTATTTCATACAGGTAAGGGAGGGTGTTTAAGTACATTTTACTGCCTTCCTGATTGGATTATTGAAAGTAGAAGAGAAAAATGAGGGATATATTTGCTTTGATGACAGAAAGATTACAGGTAATAGATAAACTGGAACTTATCATCTATTTTTGTAGCACTGATGGCAATGTTTAAAGATTATTCTGTATCTTACTCAAACTCTACCTCTATCATTGTTCAGAGTTTCCTGCAGTGATAAAGTGCTGTTCCTCTCCCAGCACTGATCTGTTGGCAAAACCTTCATCTCTCTAGAGACTTACTGTTGCAATATAATCTGATTCAGAGCACCAGGACAATGGGGTGATAAACACTGTGAAGAAATGAATGTGGTAGCACTTGACAGAATTAGTTTCATACATGACTAGTGCAACCATATATTAATAACTTTTGAACATAACTTATGTTGTTGTTCCACTTACAGAGTATGAGCTACCATCCACCAAGGTATGAACATCATGAACAGCTATTATTCTTTATTTCACTGGTTAAACTCCCCATATTTTAGTGCTTTTCCCTGCTGAGAGCAAGTGTACCTGTACAACATACTACTGTTAAATGACTGTTATCCATAGGGACTTTCTCTTCCCCTTAAAGCCTGGCACTCAGTCTTTCTAATTCCATAGGGAACAATATTCTGCTGGGTCATCTTTTACTAATGAATATAAGAAAAGTTCAAACCAGTAGATGGAAGCTGGAATTCTTTGAGTGCAATGCTGAGCTGAGACACATATGGAATGGTTAATGAGCAGTGGTCACAGAACATGCCTACAAGGGAACAAGAAATACAGCAGAAGTCAGCTTTTTGCTTCCTGCAACATTTACTGAAGTCAAATTGCTTCTGGCTTACAGAAAATGGAAGTAGCATTATTAGCCTTTAAGAGAATGCCAGAACAGCATGTGCACAGTTCCTTTTGAGAGTATTTGCTTCCTGTCTGACAAACACACAATAAGAACTAAGAGTAAATATTCAGGTGTCTTAACTGCCTTGCCTTCTTCACTATGCTGTGCTTGGGTTTCATCCCAGGAAGCCAAACGTGTACGGCTTGCAGGATCAGCCAGATTGAATGCCTGGTTTTCTTCCTAAATAGTAATCACTTCTTAAAATACAGATTGACCAGGGGTGAGTCCTGTGTGATGAGCCTTTGATAATACTGATACTGTGCAGCATCAGTTTATAGTACTTGCAGCTTTTCTTTATGGTTAGGTAGATATGTGTGGGTTTGAGGTTCATCTAACCTTATAATAGGTTAAAATTAGAAGTCACGTGTAGCGATCTCATCTGTTAAAATAAAAAGCACTAAACTGCTCTTGGATTTGCTGTCCTTTCACTGCTAGCACTAAGATGCCAGTTTCTTGCTTTGCTTCTCTACCAAACACAAATCTCATTTGCCTTAATAACACCATATTCAATGCAGTGCAGTAAAATATGCACTCAGTAAATACAGAGCAGGTTGTAAAGCAGTAAAAGGGAAATCTGGTAAACGATGTGCCCAGTTCAGCAAACTGAATGCCTAAGTCAAGAGGTAAGATTCCTAGCAAAACTTTCACTTGTGTTAACTTGACATCTTCCGAGTTAGGTATTTCCTGTAGAATAGTTGGTAAAACTACTTCATCCTCTATTCCACCCTTCCTGACGTGTTGTTTTAGAAGTGTCCTACTTGGGTAACAAAAAAGACAATATCATCACAAAGATGTACTGACAGTCTTCACTTAGCAATTCTGATGTGCTTTCTGCTGCTCTGAGCCTTCCTCTGTCTGGACTTTCACTTTACCTACTGTCACATAATGTTTCAAGACAAAAACCCACTCTGTTTTAGAGAGGACGTTTTTTGTCTGTTCTACAGTAAACTGGTTTCTAAACAGTGTATGTTAAACACTTTAACAGACATTTAATGTAAGCTAGGGGTGCACTTGATGTGCTGGCTCTGGCTCTCAAGACTGCTGTGGTGTTTCCCTGAGAAGGTGGTCATTTCTGAAGGTTTCATTAATGATCTGAAGAAGCCATTAAGTCAGTTTTAGAGAAGAATAGGATAGAAAAATGCGGTGTTTGTTTTCACATGTTTCTCTTGTCATCACTCCTGAAATTAGCCAGGATTTTACTTCACTATGATGTCACATTTTACTTCTTTTAGCTGTGGGTAAAAGTATCTCCTCAGATTATTAACTCCTCAGCAATTAACTTCTCAGACTTTGGAAGCAAACTGTATCTACTGAAACCTGATACTGCCTTGAATTTTATGCCACTATTGAGGCTGCACACAGACTGAACTTCCAATATGCAGTATCTCCAAGGTGAGGACTGTAATAGTCTCATGATAAAGCAGAATTCTCTTCCCTTCATGTATTAAAATCCAAAGATACCACTTACATGAAGGAAGCCATTTTCATTCATTTATTTCACTCTGTCATAATCATGTTGGATGTACCAGAACAACCTTTCTTGGCATTGTTTATCTCTTTGCTTTTTCTTCAAAGTCAGCAAGTTCACAGAGATGATGTGAAGGTAAAAGTGAAGAAGTGAACGGGGTTATGCTACAATAGCATTGCATAACAGGCTTTGTGCTACCTAGAGCTATATCGATACGCGTCAGGAAGAACACCAAGCTTCCAAATCCCTTCACTGATCCTTGAGCTTTGAGGGAAGAGAAGAGTATGTGTATTTAATTCCCTGCATTTAATGGTAAAGATACAAACCAAGCTTTTTATGTTGTTTTGTGTACATCGATAAATAAGCAGCCATTTAACTCTAACCAGAAAAGACAAAGCAAGGAAATCTTGTTTTGTCAATAACACTTTCTCACTGAGCTGGTTTTGTTGTTTTATTCTAATAGGCAGCAATAGGACTGAAAGAAAGTTTACTCCTGATGTGCAGAGGGCATTTTAGTCTATTTCAGGTTAAACTATCTTATGTTTGCAGGAGAGACCAAAGAATTTTCTGAGGTTCCACAGTCTCCTCTATTGCTAGCATATTCTGCTGTAGCATTTACACCTAGAGCATTTTCCAGACCATCTGGAGCAAAGCTGTGTGCAAAGGAATAAATCGACACAGACACTGTGATCTTCATGTAAATCTGTTTCACGAGCCCCTCTATCAGTCAGGCAGGTTTGTATCGTGTTTTTCCCAGGGTGGATGAAACACTGCTGCTTATGTAACAATGCAATGGGTTTTCTCTTCGAGAATAAAAAGTAGGGTAACCAAGCAACAAAAATCATCCTTGCCCTGAACAAAATTGCTTTCCGATAGCTGGGAGACTAACACCAGTACTCTCAAGAATTAAACAGTGAATATTCCACTGTGAATAAACACCTTTCAGCCTTCTCGTTGTGTTATTTTACTAAGGCTCAGAATGTTTTTACCCTTCCTTTTTTTTTTTTTTCTTTAACCTCCCACCCCTTTTTTCCCCCTCTTTATAGACAGAAGCCATGGATCCAGCTCTGTACTCTGCCCCACACGACTTCCTACAAAATGCCATTGTCTTCACTGGGATCCCGTCCTGGTATGTTTGTCTGCATGTGTAAATCAGAATACAGAATCAAGGCACTGAGTTTTCTGTGTAGAATGTTTTTCCATCGGTTCAGACTTGTTGACAACGTGAAAGCTCTAGCATTTAAAAACTTCATGGGGAGTTGTAACACAGAGTTTTCTGATGCCTCTGCAAGCTGCTTAAGCCAGTGATCATCTTTATCCCCTCCACGTATGTACAGTGCTGTGGGCTGCGGCTGTGCTGCTGACCTTCCTGCTTGATGTGTTCACTGCTGAGGTGACTCTAGCTCCTGGGGACCCACAGGCTCTTTACATCCCTCCTCAGTCCCTTCATATGACTGTGGGGAGGGTTTAAGTCATGGCTTTAGCTGGAGTTTACTGAAGTACCTCTGCATGACCAGGCTTTGTGCCTGCCTGCCAAGCCTGGTGACAGCGGTGCCTTGCTGGCTGGGACATTGTATTCGGGCTCCAGGAGGGAACTGGAAAACTATTCCTTAGGGTGTTGGCTCATTTAAGGAACACATAAGATGAGGGAAACAACCCCATTTGCATCTAAGGCCTCTGCAGATCTCCCATAGCCCTAGGCATTGCATGGCACTACTGTATTTCAGTGGCGTCTTGCTTCTTCCTTCCCACTTCCTTCAGGAGCTGAGTGTGGACCTAGCAGAAGCCCTCCTCTCCAGGTTGGAGCTGGGATCATTTCCAGGCAGGGGCTTTTAATAAGCTGAAAGCTTTCATAAAGCTTAATGTGGTTATCCACACACAGAATGCAGCTATGGCACAGCAAGTCTTGGTTGGAAATAGCATATTGAGAGACATAACCATAATTATGCTTCCCTACATAGCAAAGCATAATGTGCGTGATAAAGGAATTGAGTTTAAAAATAGCACTGAAATAAAAATGAGAGTTCTGTGGTCAAGTTTTGAACCCTAGCCTTTATAGGGACTGTGTATGGTGAGGACTTACCAGCTGTGGAGGATGAAAGTTTTTTCAGACTTATTTCAATGCAAACGTTTCAAGTTAATTTTTAAGTCCTTTCAATTTCTGTCCATGTAATTTGTATGGAAACCACTTACAAAACTGTGGTTTACAGGGGTTGTGGGAATAAGCTTAAGGGAATTGTTGAAAACTGAAGGAAGCTCAAGGAAGTGCTAGTTTCTTAGGTTTGGGCCTATTTAATTTGACTGCAAGGTAGATCTATGGTCAAAGACAATCTCCTGTTTATACTCACACTTGCTTGTAGCATTGTTAGTGAAAGTGGGAGACAGTAAATAATTTACTGGTACAAAAGCCGTATACGTAGTAAAGCTTCTATATGGTAATACTGGGGAAGCTGTACAATGCAAGTGGTGTAACACAGGGAAATTCATGCTTACCAGCACGGAGGTGGAAGGAAGCTTTGCCAAGCGCCATGTCTGTAAAGAAGCTAGATGAGCAGAGTGCTTTGGGGCAATGAGTGTTGTGGGGTACGGGTGCCAGGTTTAAGAAGGGAAAAGGACTACTTTGGTCATGGAAGGTGATGGCAGGATGAATGGAAAATCAACAAGCACATGGCACATTCTGGCATAGCCTTTGTCTTCTCTGGGGATTGGGAGCATGGGTGCAAAGTCTGATGGTGTGTTGGTTCCTTTGCTTCAGAATGCACGCTTTCTGGTACAGGCTGTATCAGAGACTGAGATACTGGATGCTGTGAATGAAGTTGTACAGTAATGTTGACAGTATAGGGTGAAGAAGCCATGTGTTTTGATGCAAAGGATGTCAGATGAGTAGACATTAATTGTTCTGAAAATTAGGACTGAAGAAACTAAATATTAAGAATGGAAGAAAGGATGACAAAAATACTAAACAAAAGGAGAGGATGTGCTTAACAAAGACTAATCTAGCAAAGGGCTGAAGAAAGAGAGAGGATTTGAAAGAAGAAATTGCACAGAGCAGCTAGAGGCAGAGGTGACCCTCAGTGTGGAACTGGGGCTGTTCACATTTCACAGTATCTGGGGAATTAGGACACAGAACTTGAAGAGTAAATGACAAATGGGGAGGATCTTAAATGCAAAGAACAGGAGAAGGTGTTTTGCAGTTAACTGAGTGGTGAGCTATGTAGATAGACCTGAGGGAGAGTGGTTTGGGTTTAGTATTCATGCACGCTTGAACAGGTTAAAGCAACACTGGAGTAAAGAAGTAGGATTTGCAGGAGAAGTTGCACAGAGGATGAGATCCCAACCAAACTGTGCCATTTGCTGCGTTGCACTTACACCAGCTGATGGTAACAGGAGGAGGGAGTGAGAGCAGAGGATGGGAGGTGGAAGCTGATTACCTTTCTTAGCCCACTCCCTCTCCTTGAATCCAATACCTTTGTGATTTACAGCTTCCTTGTATGTATGTTTTGTGTCAATTTGTGCCTTCTATATGTCACCTGACACACAAATGTGAGTCTGTTCCCACTCAAAGTACTTACACTGTATCCTTTCATTTGGTAAGAACTGCAGAATCTTGCTGTGTTATGGCAGTTCAGAATCTTGGGAGAAATCAAAGTAAACCGAATTTGACCCATTAGGTTGGAAGCAAATGGTTAAGTTTAGCTGTGTTATTACATCCATAACCCACTGAATTTGTAGTACGCTGCTTTAACATTAGTGTCTCCATCAGTTTTGAAGGAGTCCATGCAAAGCCATTAGAGGTTATTAAAGTCCAATTTCCCAGACTACCAGGAAGACAGCAAAATGAAAACCCAGAGCCCAGTCATGCTGTAACCTCTTGGTGCCTCAGGGAAACGGGTATCAGTTTCTCCTCCCAGGAATACTGTATTGCTTAATTAATCCTTGCATCCCTGAGTGATGTGGGCAGGTTTGTTATGGAATTACAAAAGTATGGATTTATTATGAATGCTGCCCTTGGAACTTAGCAGGTTTTCGAAGTTTTTCTTTCACCACTCTGCCTGCACTGCTTTCCTAGCTAAGCTTTTCTCCTGTTGTGCAACTGAAGAACTCCTCAAGATCGATCTTTCTTTGCTTTTCATTAAGAAATGGATGGTTTTACCGGGACTAACTGAAAAGCACTCTGTCTAGCAGCTTGACATCAGTTCACAGGTCTCAGGTTTAAGAGATTTTTAGAAAGCAAAGGCACTGGCATTTGTTGTGCCTCTATGGCAAACCCTCCATATTTCTTTTCCACGTCATAAATTTATGGTGTAGAGCCATGAGGGAAGGACAGATGAGGACCTTTATCACCCTTTATTCACCCTTTATCACCCTTTCCCCCCAGAAACAGTGTTTTGAGACTTTCACTCACAGGGATCATTCATACAGTCTGTTTGCTGAGAGTAAACTGAATTACTTTCAAACGCAGCATGTGGTGTAAATACTCTGACGTACTTGTGACTATATACTTCACAAGCTCGACAGAGACCTCAGTTTTTCATGTCCCATATGTACGTACTCGTCCCAAGTACTTCATAACGTCTCAAAACAATTCCAGCTAATGCCTGAGCCTGCTTATGGGATTTACCAGCCTGCCCCTGCCATTTACCATCACGCAAATAGCTGTCCTTGTTACAGGTTAATGTTGGGCTCCCCTGGCATTATTTGAGAAAGGAGCTTGAAGCAAGACCTAAATGTTATTTTACGAACCCACACCTCCCCACACTTGCTGTAATTTCAGGTCGCAATCTCTCCTCCAGAGCCCCTTCACTGACAGGGCAGCACTTCGGAACGCATCAGCCTTTGCCCGATTTATCTGATGCGGCCATACTGGGCAGAACTGGACCTAGGCGAGGGGCTGCACTGGCAGGTGAGGGGCCTGAGGTGAGTCCCCCATCAGCCGCTGCCCCCCAGTTTATTCAGGGATCGGGACAGTCACAGTGAGGTTGTCCAAGTTCAGAAAACACAGAGGTGTTTCCCAGCTTCTCTGCTCCATACTGACTGATGGGACTTCAGTGTCTGTCTGTCCTTCCCTGACTCGCCATACCCCCCAGCTACTCATGGCTTCTCCACAAAGTGCTCCAAACTGGACATAGCCCAGCTCCCTGTGATGAGAGCACCTCCTGCTCTGTCTATGAAGGAGAAGGGGATGATATTCTGAATTCCTCATGCTTTCTTCTCTCACTTTCCTAGAGAAATAAGGGATAACACTGTGTTGATTTGCCGATATTTACATCTGAAGTTGCTCCTGGTCTCTCCCAGGCCATGATTTAATGGATAACTTTCCATGTGCAGGTTTTCCTTCGGTGTTGGATTTGCAGTAGTGAAGGACAGGGACTAGCCCATGCCTCCACACACCTTTGCTGAGGTACACCCGCTGACCTCATGCTTTAGTGCATTTCCTCCTTCATTTGCTTTATTTTAAATAAACTCTACATGTTAAATGCTTCTGGAGAGGAAAACTGTTACAAAAGAGGTTGGGAGTGAAACTGGTAGGTACTGAATAGGCTTTAATGGAAATTAAATATTTAGAGAGCAGAGACATGACAACTATAGAGACTTCCTGAGCAATCCTCGGGGCAGAAACAGTTTTGTAGATGGCCGTGATCCAGCAAACCGCTTAAGACACAGGCACAGTCTCACTGAGTTAATTGAGAATATATGTGTGTGTGTTTAAGTGCTTTGCTGGACAACAGCCTTGAATACGCTATGCTTTCACTTAAATTCCATTTTTAGGTTCTGCTTTCATGTAAGAATAGGAATCTTCACTGGTTCATTGCCTTATAACAACAGCAGGAGACAGTATCAATCTGTAAGCATCAATCAATAGCTAAACATTGAAATGAAGGCTGATTTAAAAAATCTAAACACTTAATAACTATCCTTAAGAGCCCCTAAATCTGTTCCATTTGTAATAAATGACTTCCAAAAGCAAATTTACTTTTGGGTTAATGGGAACCGGTATGTTTTGTTCTGTGATGATCAGCTTGATGAAAACCACCAAAAAAGTCCCCCGAAACTAAACCAACAAACCAGAATCCCACCACATTTGAATGCTTATCTGAGTCCCTTTCAGCTCCTGAGTTTGCAGATCTACTTCAAGGGGAAATTATTTCTGACGTGGGCTGTTTTATTTCAATGTCTACTCACAAGGCAAAAGCTGCGGGATGTGAACAAAGTGCGTTTGTATTGCCCACTCCTCCCTCCGTGCCTGGATGTGATTTAAAAACAGGCTTCGGTAAAGGCAGCGATTCCATGTTTCAAAATACTGATTAATACTATGTTATAGAATCACAGAATGGTTTGGGTTGGAAAGGACCTTAACACCTTCCAGTTCCAATCCCTGCCATGGGCAGGGACACCTCATACTAGACTGGGTTGCTTCAGGCTGTGTACAGCCTGGCCTTGAACACTACCAGGGATGGAGCATTCACAGCTTCCCTGGGCAACCCATTCCAGTGCCTCATCACCCTTACAGTAAAGAACTTCTTCCTTATATCTAACCTGAACTTCCCCCCTTTCAGTTTGTATCACTGTTTCCTAGGCTCTATTTCCTCCTTGCTGTATATTTTGCCTGCAGAATCTGGTACAGAAGAAGGAGAAAGTGTGCAGAGTTACTTCTTTTGGTTGCATGGTTTGGGGCTTTGAGGTTGGTTTGTACTTTGTTTCTCTTCTGCACTTAAGGAAATTTAGGTTGGATTTTTTGAAACACTGAAGTGCATTCAAATATCTCCTGCTGACCCATATATCTGAGTTATTTGGTCATATTTTTGCATATTGATAATACTGAGCAGTCTGAGTGTCAGTAACTCCCCTGAGTTTTTCTCCCCTGGGAGTAATACCAGATGATGAAATAAGAAATAATGGCTTTAAATGGGAAGGGGGTAGATTGGGCTTAGACATTAGGAATAGGGAGCTGAGGTGCTGGCACAGGGTGCCCAGAGAAGCTGTGGCTGCCCCATCCCTGGCAGTGTTCAAGGCCAGGTTGGACACAGGGGCTTGGAGCAAGCTGCTCTAGGGGAAGGTGTCCCTGCCCGTGGAAGGGGTTGGAGCTGGATGAGCTTTAAGGCCCCTTCCAACCCAAACCAGGCTGGGATTCTATGAAGGAAATTTCTTACTGCCAAAACTTCACAACCTTTTCTAAATGTAGCGTTATTTCTATAAATCTCCAATGCAGCAAAGCCTGCCATCATCACTTCAGTCTTGTATAATTATTCTATACGTTCCTTAGACCACCTATGTTAAAATCAGTTTGTTTAATGGAGCAGTCACATTAGAGTTCTAGCAGGGGGGCCATAAAGACAGAGTGAAATAATACTGCAATCAGACTAGAATTTCCCTAAGGGGACTTGTAAGGAGTTGTGAAAAGACAGCATGGATCCCTCTGGGGGTAAACTGAGGGGCAGTGACTGATGGCTGAGGTCATAAATGTTTATGCTTTGATGGGTATCTCAAGTTTATTACAAAGGGAGCAGGTTTTACAGGAAGCCATGTGCTACATTTGGGACTGGAGGTCTCTTGTGGCTGGGGATTTACTCTTTTACCCCTTTCTGGCTATCCTGATTTGAAGGATGCTCTTAGGAAAGTGTCAAGGTGAAGCTCATTTCGAATCAAATCTCTTGCTGGCAGGGAAGGCAATAAATGACTGTAGAGAATGTGCAGGTTCACTTGGTTGTGATTACAAAACTTTTTTACTTTACTAAAGCTTAAACCAAACTGATTTAAACCATCCGCAGCTAAGTGACTCAAGCAAAATACCAGGGGGATATAGCTGCATTTAAGCATGGATTGCCTTCATTATACTTGCAAGTAAAATTGTCAGCACTTCCTTCTGATTGGGGAGTATCACTTCTACAGCCATAAAATACTGAAAATGGAGACGGGATACAAATAAATGGGACAGATATTGTGAAGTTGGTTGTTAATGTTTCAACACTTCTTTGCACTAGGACAAGATTATTGAAAAGAAAAATCATCATAAAAACCTCTGAGAGGCAAGAATGAACTTGGAATGGAAGAATACAGCATCTTGAAGCAATTGAATGCTTTCTGAAAGATCAAATGAAAATATGAAAATGAGCTGTGAAGTATTAATGATATTAATCCATTTATTTGAAAACTATTTCCATGAACTTCTCACAAAGATTACGTACCAAAAGTGGATGTTAATTCACAAGATCTATCCTTAACTGAGGTCTCAATGCCTCCATTCTTTCAGGGACTTTTCTTTTAGCATAACATACATCCAACAGAAATAATGAGAGCATTTAGTTGGCTTGGACCTATCATGGAAGACAGGGAGAGGAATGACTGAGCAAGATCTTTAATGAAGCCTTCATTTTAAGGATGCAGTTGGAGTCTTACTGATTCAGGCACCTACATCTTGAATAGCCATAACTTGGTACATGATCCTGTAACTGTCTGTAACATGATGAACAAATATTATCATGCCTTCAAACACAGCTACTGGAGAAATGCTCTGTACCTGGGCCATTTGGCATGATGGAGCTGCCTCTGCTGTCTCTAGCTCAGTGAGGGCAGTTGTTCATCCTCTTCTCTATTCCAGCATCTCTCAGCCCTCCCTGACCATACACTCAAGGTGTGGGAACTCATCAATAGCTTCTTGTGCTGTGCAGCAGTTAGGAAGTGTAAGTCCCCATCTCTGTGTAACCTTGTGTTGTACACACACCCTCACCCAGGGCTGGAAGGGAGGGGATAAAGAGCAGGTCAAAATATGACAGAACCTTTGTGTGTGGTCAGTCTCCCCTTCTCATCACTCTTGATAATGTGTTTGTCTGAGATGTGTGCAATATCCATGGCTTGTAATTAAATGGATGAGTTTTTAAGAGAGTCACATTTCCAGTGGGACTTCTCTCCACAAGTGTGTGTTTTTTACCTGCTGCGCATTGCTATTTCAGTCACTCGTTGTTTTATAATTATGCCTATGCATTATTTACATATGTCTGTACAAACACACTGCCTTCTAAAGGTTTTCCCATAGAAGAGCTGATGTGAAACGCCATAAATATGTCTGAAAATGATAGACAAAGGCATGAAATAAAGATTTTATAGCATTTTTTACTGAGTAGCTCATTTGGCTTGTCAGAGAGAAAACACACTAGGGGCTGACTACACAGGAGAAGATGGAGTACACTGAAAATCCAGCCAGGCAGGAGGGTATCATTCTTGATGTATCACTGGAGTCAGCACACTTTGAGCATGTTACAGCTTTTAGCAGTCTTGCTGGGGCTCTGTTCTTTATCTCGGCTAGTGACTCATCCTGCAGTGCATCCGCATCACCTATCAGCTGATTATTCAGGGCAAAGTAATTGTCATGGGCATGTTAAAGCACTCCACTGAATACTTTGTTTATGAAATACTAGAATTTTTCTTTGAACCAAATCTCTTCACCCTAAATCAGCTTAATGTGTCCATGAAATCTCCCTGGCTCCCCTATTGATGCTAGTTCTAATAACATACGTTTTTATCTTGGTGTTCTCGTAACAGCTGGTAGCTTTGCATTTGTGATCTCATATCTTATCTGAAGGCAATTTCTCCAACATCTAAACAGCGCTGGAACCTTGTGGAACTTTCCAGTCTGCCTCCAGACTGAGATTTGCTAATGGAATATAATGCCAGAAGTAGAAAAAGGGTTTTGGCAGGGCTGGTAGGTTCACGACAGAAGCTGAGAGAACGGACCAAGTGTAATAGTGAGTTTCCTAGGGAAACTAGAAAATGCCTCTTCCCCCCACCCCGTTATATTTTCTATGCAAATATGTAAAACTCAGTCCTTTTATTTAAGTTGAACTTCTCCTGTTTCTATTTTTGCTTGAAAACTAAGCTTCTGGAATCTTCTGGTCACTGATAGAATAAAACCTATAGACTTCTTATCTACATGGTTTTTAAGTGGCTTATCCTTGTTTTTGACAAGGTTACTCTAGTTGGTTTTACCAACAGTCTACTTGATGACTTTTATTATGCTACTATCTGCAGGCTGTAATTAAAGGAATCTCAGAGCTAATGCTTTCCCAGATATTTTTCTTTCTTAATGATAACGTATAACATAAGACCAAGACCAGCAAATGGGAGCAGTAAGATGCAGAGCAGACCCAGCAGCAAATCTCATTTTGTGCTCACACAAATAGGCATGTCCAGCATGTTTCTACAACGTTTCAATCATGTTCTGCTTCCAAATGCACTCATTCCTCAATAGCCAGTGAAGTTGAATCCGTCACTCAGGGTGTGCTACTGTTCTGCAGGGACTGGCTTTCATCATCTGTATCTTAATTACAGTAAGGTTCTACTGCATAATGGAGGCTTCTCTTTCCATTGACTGCTATTAAACTCCTGTGACTGCCTAGTAATGTTCTGCCAGTCTGCATGTTTCTACCGAGCATGGGTTGGTTTTTATTATGTCTTTACTTCTCTTTAATGCATATGGAATTACTGACACAGAACCCATGCGTGATTTCCTATTAGTGAAGCAAATTTGACTTCAGGAGCAGGTTTCAGTGGATTTCTTCCTTAAAATTAAGCTGCATGATTGAGGAGACCTGTGATTTAAACCTGTGGTTTAAATGCAGTAAGATATGCTGTTTGACACATCACTAGCAATTAAATGATCAGAAAAAATCAGGCAAAACTAATATTCTGCTCTGGTTTAGACATGGCCTCTTCATGCACAAAATGTGCAGGTGATGTGGCTGACTGAACGGAATGGAGGGCAAAAGGGATGTATTACAAAGCTGCAGGCTTTTTTCTATTGTGTTCCCACATCCATCGACTGTGAGAAATTAACGTGAAGCAAGGTACAATGATTTTTAAATGCAAATTTCCAGTAAATCCTATCAATTTTTGATTTTGGCATGAAACAAATAGGAAAGTACACTGAAATGGAAGCAGAGGGTTTTAGTTCTCCAAGCAAGGACAGGACAAACCTAGAGAGTATGGCATAAGGAGGATTTCTGCATCCTCTGCCTTTAGCAAATACTAGACGATGGTTCTGTCTCACCTGTCTCAATCTCCTTTTAATTTTGACAAACTTGACTAGTTACAATTTTATTGTGTTAGAATTTTAAATGCTTTTTTCATTAAAACAGCCTAATAAACAGTATTCTTTCGCACTTCATAGTATCTCTGTAGGCATTTTGTCTTGGATGAGTGAGCTGTTTTCTCTATTTCACTTACTTTAGTTGC